GACTCGGCGTCAGCCTTGAGCTGTTGTGCGGAGGCGGAGGCGCAGGCGCAGAAGTGCCTGCTTGCCAGCTACTTCTCCTGGGCTGCAGCAGGTCCAGCCCAGGGAGGCCCGCAGAGGGGGGTCTCGCAGAGGGGGTTCCACAGAGGGGCGTTTAGTTTCTGGGCGACCGCCCTGTGCCCTCCGGCCAGTGCCTTGGCTGAGAGGGCTGGCCTGTGGGGAGCGCCTGCTAACCGATTCGTCTCTCTCCCTCCTCTGCACAGCCCTGGGGTCCGACTCCTGCTCTGTTGGTATAGAGGAGTAAGCTGGTATGTGACCTTTTACCCTCCCTTGCCCCATCTTTATCCACACCCATGTCTCAGGGGGCTTGACCTCCAGTGGCCACTACACCTCTGCCCGTAAAGGGTAGCCTCCTGGGGGCCCAGCTTTCAGAGCCAGAGGTGTTTCCATCTGAACGAGGCAGCCTGAAAACCTTCTCCCAGGCTTGCTGGGCACCCCTGTGCCTGCAGGAGGCAAGGGCTGGAGGGCCAGGGCTGCCGGCACCCCAGGAAGGCACTTGGGGAGGGTGCAGGGCCAGATGCCCTGAGGCCCAGCCTCAACCCAGGCTGCACAGCTGAGCTGCCCAGGAGGCGTGGGGGCATCTGGCCAGTCTGCTCCCAGTGGAGGCTTTAAGTAACAGTTCACAAAATAGCATGCTCTGCTGTGCGAGGCCCCATCAAGTGGGGTTGGTCCTGGCGGCACCCTCAGCGCCCTCTGGAGACTGCCTGGGCTTCCTGTCCGCTGGCATGGCCACACCTGCCTCTTCACCTGGCAGTGTGTCCTCCGTGGCCCTGATGCCATCATGGGCCTTTCTGCTGTGAGCTCACCATAGCTGCCAACTAGCCTGCTCCTTCTGCCTCTGGAACCTTCCGGAATACCAGCACACTGAGCGGCCTGGGAGGAGGCCTGGGAGGTTGGCGACCAATGACAGGGTGGCCCACCTGGGCAGCTGTAGGAGTTTCCTCAGTGCCACCAGAAAACAGGCAGACGGGCCGGGGACACAGGCTGTGGACGGCTCTGGGTTGTCACAGGGGAGGGGCCTACATGGCTGGGGCTGCCACGGGAGGACTTTGGCTGCTGTGGCCACGAGGCCTGGGCAGCCCGCCTGGGAAGCACCTCGTTAGTGCCGAGGCCTCTTCACTGCGGCCCTGCCCGTGGCTGAGCTGCCCTGGCTTGTGCTTGCTTGTCTGACGACAGGCATGGTCCCGCCAGGCCTTCCTCATCCCCCTTGCACGTGTCTTCTCACATCTATGCGCTACTGGGATGGCACCCCACGCTGTGCTCTGTCCTGGCTGCAGCCAGCACCCTGAGAAGGTGCTGCCTGGGTGCTCGTGTCACTCGAGTGAGGGTGCAGTCCCGTGGCTGTGGCTGCGTGGCAGACCTGTCATGCAAGGTCTGCTGTTTGTGGGCGCCCCGAGGAAGCATGCACCTGGTACAGGGACAGCGTGCCTTACAACATCGTGGGGGTGATGATGTGGGGGTGAGCAGAACAGGCCCCTGTGCATGGGGGGCCTGGGGACTCCCCTACCTTGCAGAAGCCACGCGGAGACTGCTTGAGCCCCAGCCCGTTACCACCCAGGTCTGCCCGCTGTCCCCTGGCCGGGGCAGACAGTCCAGTTCCAGCCTAACACAGTTATAAAGCTCTTGGTAGGAGAGCTGCCAGTCAGACCTGGAGCGTGGGTCTGATGAGAGCCGGAGCCCGGGGGCCACAGCCCATGGCGCTGCGTCACTCTTGGTCCTGGGCTGCAGGTTGGCTGCAAGGCGCCCAAGGACAGGCCCCCCTCACTGTGCTAGACCTGGAGTCCTTAGGTCTGCCAGGTGGCCCTGCCCTGTAGGACTCAGGATCAGTGGGAGCAGGTGATATGAGTGGCACTGCCAAAATGACCCCTGCCCCCTTTGCTCCCACCTGCAGGATGGCCCACCTCCATGGAGACGCCCCGCGGCCTCAGCACCACCGGCCCCCCCTGGTCTCTGCTTGGTGGCCCCAGTCCTGACACAGGCACCACTGAGCTGACCCCGCTCTGAGATTGGCCAGGCGCAGCGTGGAGCCTCCACTCCCCGGACTCTGCGAGGGGCTTCCTTGGGCCCAGTGAGGCCTAGCCACCCGTCTGCATGCCCCTGTGGCCCCCAGGCTCTGAGGGCCTGTGGCGACTTGATCAATGAGCACAGTGGACTGTCCCCCACGAACCCCTTTTCTACGGCCAATGTATTTGTAGATGGTACAGATGAAGGACCACACACTCTGTCCTGGGCGCCACGCCCTGTGGGCTGTGCGCTGAGGCTGGGTTCCCCCAGCCAGCAAGGCCGACACCGAGAACTCAGGAGCCCAGCGGAGATGTCCCTGAGGGTGAAGTGCTGAGTCACAGTCAATGAAGGAACAGTACCTGCCCACTGCCCGCCACGCAGGCCGCAGTGACCTGTCACTGCTGCTGTGTGTCCTCCGTGGTGTTGGTCACGGCTGTGGGTGGCTCTCTCTACCTCCCTGTCCCCCTCTGCTCTGCTACTGGCCTCCTCTCACTGGGCCCTCTCCCTGAGCAGCCTGGTATCTGCACTTGAGGTTAGGACCTGGGTCTGACCGAGGGGCACGGGCGCAGCCTGTGTAGCCGTTGGCACCTGCTGTCCCTGTCACTAAGCCCTGTGCCTGCTCACAGGTCCCGCTCTACTCACATTAGATCCCATCTGCCAGGGAGGGACCTGGGCACCTTCCTCAGCTCCCCCTTTGCCATTTCAATGCCACGTTGTGTTTTTCCTTGATTTGTTCTGTCTGGAGCCCTCCAGGCAGGGCCTGCCGGCAGAGGAGAGGACTAGCAGCCCACTTGGGAGATGGGGCCCAACCAGATGCTTATGATAAGCCCCTGTGCAGCTGAAAGGAAGAGGCGCACCCAGGCCTGAGCCCTCAGCAGGGCCTTGAACCAGGTGGGAACGTGTAGCTCCCCTGGCCTCTGCCAACCCCGTGGATACCCCTGCCCACAAGGCCGCCCTCCCTGGTGCTCGGGGTCACTGCGAGCCCAGGCTTTCCTGAGACGGGTGCTTACGAGAAGTTCGGCACTGACAGGTCGGTCCCTCTGATGGAGCCTGAGTGGAGGAGCACTTCACCCCTGGCTCCCTGCTGCACCAGGGCAGCCACCCCCCACCACCACTGTGTGTGCTCGTGTGCACACATGCGTATGCGCACACAACCCTCACGCCGCCAGCACGGGCCTCTGGCCGGTGGCCTTGGAGCGGTGCTGTCAGAGGGTGGGAGGCGGCAGGCCGTGGCGGATCCGGCTGTCGTGATGTACCCTGGCTGCTTCTGTTCGTTTTTACTGTATATTTATAGTAATAAAGTCACGCAGCAATATGCGCTCCGCCCTTCCTCTGGCACTGACCGTGGGGCTCTGGCTGTTCGTGATCCAGAGGCAGGACAGCCGAGTGGGCATGAGAACCCTGCACCTCAAGCTGTGGCCTTTGTCTTGATTGCACACATCCAAGGTCCCCATGGCAGTATGACTGCCAGGTCAGGGTGAGGGTTACATGAGCTGGCACGTGGCTCCCGCCGAGAACTAACACCCCAGGCTACTGTTGGCCACGTTTCCATCGTCACCATCGCTGTCTTTGCTTGGGGTTTGCTTTAGTCTCCTGGACAGGTAGTGGGGCGCCCGAGGCCTCCAGGTATGCGGCTATTGCTCCAGTCCTCACCCTGAGATAGCTCCTATGGGGTACAGGGGACAGGGTCCAGGCCCTCAAGCTCTAACCAGCGGGAACTGAAAGGTCACCAGAAGCGTTTGCGGTTTGGTTGTGGTGAGGAAGAAAGTCGGTGGGTGGGAAATGAAGTCCTAAGGGGAGATAATCTACCCGGAGGTCAGGGAGGCTTCTCTAGGGACCTGGCCTTGGACTCGTGCTGCAGGCAGCTGCACAGCACGTGCAGAGGCCGGCAGGAGTGAGCCTCACATGTTCCTGGGGAAGGAAGCCCACTGGTTGGAGCAGGGTACAAGGGTGCACCTGATGACCTGGCAGAGGCGGGATTTGGAGATTTCATAAGGGGTTGTCAGAGTTTTGAAATAACCAGGAACCAGAAGTTAGCGTAATGGCTATGTCGCTGGACTCCCATGTAGTCGACCGCGGTTCGCGTCCTGGACCCGGTGGCTTAAACTCAACGCCAGGCGCGTGTGCGTGCGTGCCCAAGATCCCGAGAGAATGGGGGAGAAGGGATTGCGGTGTGGCCATCCCCCCTGGTGGGGGATTTCTCACTTTCTGTCTCTCTCTGTCTCTGTTTGGCTAGTGCACGCGCCCT